GGCCAACATCAGCACGACGCCCCTGCGAGTGGCCCTGACCCCACCCCGTAGTACCATGGCGCGTGGTGCTCGCGCTGCTGCTCTCCCTCCTGGCTCTCCCAGTCGCGCTGCTTGCGGTCGTCGTCAGGACGCCGGCGCGAACGCACTGGTGGCCCGAGGAGGTCGCAGCGTCCTGACAGAACTGGCCGCCGGTCGTGCTGGCGTCAAGGCGCTGGCGCTGGGTCCGGCGCAATCGCAGGCGTTCACGCTGGCGTCGGCGGTGGGGTCGGTGCTGGGGTCGGTGCTGGTGTATGTAGGCGACGGCGTGGGTGCTGGCGCCAGTGATGACATCGGTGATGGTGTGGGCGCTGCCTCTGGTGCCGGCGCAGGCGCTGGCGTTCGTGCTGGCGTCGGTGCTGGCGCCGGCGTTCGTGCTGACGTTCGCGCTGGAAGGCCAAGATTGCCTGACACGTGTAGATTGCTAGAGTGGAGCACGGCAGAAGTACGCTGGGGAAGTCGACGGAATAGCGAAATGCTCCAGGCAGAACGACATGAGCAGTGCGCGAAGCATACGGCAACAACGACCAAACCACGTGCAGCCCGTCTGCAGGGCGCTGCACAAGCCCAGACAACAACGCATTCATAGAGGAGGAAAGGAAAAAAGAGGAGAGGATGGAGACAAGATATACGTAGCACCCCGCAGATGCGGATAAGAGTGAGGGGGCGGTGGGGACGTCGGCAACTTGCGAGACTCAGGAGAAGCCCGCCGCAGGCGCCAAAGGTTCACACATTCTACAACGAGCCCGCCGCAGGCGCCGACTTTTTCGTTAAACAAATGTGGGTAGGTCGTGGGTGGGTCGCGGGTTGGTCGCTATTGGGTCGCGGGTGTAGAGGGCAGAATATCCACCCCATAATCATCACCCCGACAAGCGAAGCCGTTTAGCAAACGCACACAAGGAAAGAATCGAACAGGGCAAGGCTGTTTAGGCAACGCCCAGGGCCGTTTAGTAAACGTCAATTGTCGGGTCCAGGTGGTTTTCCTCCCTTGAGGGTGGGTCGCGGGGTGGGTCGCGGGCGGGTCGCGGGGTGGGTCGCGGGGTGGGTCGCGGGTGGGTCGGGGGGTGGGTCGCGGGGTGGGTCTCGGGGTGGGTCTCGGGGTGGGTCGCGGGGTGAGTCGCGGGGTGGGTCGGGGTGGGTCGCGGGTGTGTCGCGGGGTGGGACGACGACAACAAACAAACAAACAAACAAACAAACAAACAAACAAACAAACAAACAAACAAACAACAACAACAACAACGCAACAAGCAGAATTCTCACCACGAATTCCTTATTCAGCCACACACCCAGGGACAATGAATGACCGTTCGGCCCCCTCATTCTGACATATCAGGGCTGACGAGCGGCGGTGGCGCGCTGCCCGTTGACCCCTTGGTGCCCACCACGTGCAACCAGCAAAACAATACCTCCGAAATACACTATGTGCCACCCTCGCCATCATCAGCCTCCTCGTTTTCCCGTTTCTTTCGCCACCTCCTGATCAGTGCCATCACTATCATCATTGCCATCGTCGTCATTCTCATCAGCATCATCATCATCATCATCATCAGCATCAGCATCATCATCATCATCATCATCATCATCATCATCATCATCATCATCATCATCATCATCATCATACGCATCGTCATCACCATCGCCAGCATCATCACTATCTTCACCGGTTCCGCATCATCATCATCATCATCATCATCATCATCAGCAGCATCATCATCATCATCATCATCATCAGCAGCAGCATCATCATCGCCCACACCATCATCATCATCAGCAGCAGCAGCATTACCAGCCTCATAATCATGCTCAACAACATCATCACCCGTATCACCATCGTCATCATCATGGTCCGCACCTTGATCATTATTAGCATCATCAGCATCAACATCCGCATCCTATCATAATCCTCATCAGCAGCATCATCACCGTCATAGCCGTCATCGTCAACATCGTCATCATCATCAGCGACATTATCATCATCATCATCATCATCATCATCATCATCATCATCATCATCATCATAATCGCCACCATCATCGTCAGCAGCATCATCAGCATAATCGTCCTCAGCATCAGCATCATCATCATCATCGTAATCGTCATCGTCATCGTCATCATCATCACCATCAGCATCAGCATCAGTATCATCGTCATGCTCATCATCATCACCAGCCTCACCATCCTCATCGTAAGCATCATCATTGTCATCTTCTTCATCATCAGGAGCAGCATCGTCTATACAGCCAACAGCATCATTATCAGTATCACCATTCTCATCATCATTGTCATTATCATCGTCATCGTCATCGTCATCATCATCATCATCATCATCATCATCATCATCATCATCAGTATGCTCATCGTCGTCCGCACACGCACCATAGTATTCGCCCTCCTCATGCTCATCACCAGCAGAATCCACATCAGCACCACCAACAACATCATCACCATCATCATCGCCACCATCATCATAAACAACAGTACCCTCATCATCAACATGAGCATCAGGAGCAGCATCATCATCCTCATCGTCCACATCATCTTCAGCATCCCCATCGGCATCAACAACAGCATAATCATCAGCAGCAGCATCATCAGCATCAGCATCTTCATCATCAGCATTACCATCATCAGCATCATCATCACCATCAGCATCATTATCATCATCATCAGCAGCATCATCATCATGATCAGCATCATCATCTTCATCATCATCTGCAGCATGATCAACAGTACCATCATGATCATCATCATAATCATCATCATCACCATCATCATCAGCATCAATATCATTACCATTATCATCCCATTTCTTCCGCCTACACCACCTCCGCCCTCCATCCTCCCTCCCTCCCTCCTTCCCTCCCCCATCCCTCCCCCCTCTCCCCCTCCTCCTCCTCCTCCTCCTCCTCCTCCTCCCTCCTCCTCCTCCTCCTCCTCCTCCTCCTCCTCCTCCTCCTCCTCCTCCTCCTCCTCCTCCTCCTCCTCCTCCTCCTCTTCCTCCGCCTCCTTTTGCAGCCGCTCTAGCAGGACGTGCTCCCCAGAGAAACAGGCGCAGACCCCCCGGGCTGGGGACGGGTCGCAGTCCTTCTCGGGCGTCGGGCGCACCAGTCCTCCTGTGCACACCCTGCAGTGGCCCGTGGCCGAAGCAACGACGGTCATCTGTGCACAGCTTGCGAGTCGGCGGCCCGATGCGGCGGCAAGTGGCTGAAGCATCGACGGCCCCGTGCGCGGCCATGCCGGCATAAAGGGGGGCAGCGGAGCGGCAGCGGGGCGTGAGGGCGGCCTGCAGCAGAAGGCGCGGCCGCCTCGGGGGCGCTCCGCGAGGCAGCCGTGACCTCTTCATTGGGGGGTGGGGCTTCACGACCGGCGAACGTCATGATCCGTATCCACGCCTTCGCGGTCTGGATTCCGGGGCACGATCCCGCGGGTACGCGACCGCACGGAAGCGCTCCGGGCGGGGCAGCCGCGAAGAAGCGCCCCGTGTCCGCGAGGTCGCGGCCCGCGAGGCCGCGGATGCGGATCCGATTCCGCTCATGGCGGCCTCTGCGCCCTGGTGTTTTTGCAGGGCGATCCCTTGCGGTAGAGGCACCTGCCCGTGCGGAGCCAAGTGGGCCCAGGTGCTCCCGCCAGTCTTCGCCTGCAGGGAGGGCGGCTCCGGAGGCGGCAGCTGCCCCCAGCCTGGGGGAGCTGCCAGAGGCCGGGGCCCACCCGCCGTCTGGGCCGTGGGCCTGATCTCCAAAAACCGCCGCGGGCTGGACAAGGGGAGGAACGCCGGGCGCCGTGCAGAGTTCGAGATGCTCCAGCCCGCGCTGGCACCCCTGGCCGCCCAAGCCCCTTGCCTGGGTCGCGGGGCACAGGGTGGAGGCGACGGTCAAGAAGCTGGGCCACCTGCAGCGCGAGCCTGAAGCGATCGCAGAGCGCCTGCGGTGGCCCAAGCAGGAGGAGTCGTTCAAGGACGCGGCGTCCAAGGTAGAATTGGCCGAGGAGGCTCAAGGTGGCTGTGAACGGAGTCGTGGCCCAGACTCCACCGATTGCCGAGTCGCCCGAGGACGCGGACGAGCTGCAGGGCCCTCTGGAGAGGCTCTGGACGACTCCGGCGAGTGGGAAGGGGCGGGCGAGGCCCGTCGGGAGGCCTCGAATCGGCTACACGCAGGGTGACCCCAGGCAAGAGAGTGACCCTGAGTGCGCGGACGAACAGGGGGCGCACGGGATGGCCAAATCCGAGCGCGCAAGCGGCCGCGATCGCATCACGCTCGCGGGGACGCCGACCAGGTGACCAGCCCGCACTCGAGGTCACCCCGGCGAAGGGTCACTCTCACACCACCAGTCAGGAGCGGCGGGCCTCCGCGCGAGCCCGCACCGGGCGAGGCACCGCCAGCGCGAGGAGGACCACAATGGGGCCCGCGGGGCCCGCGGGGCGGGCGGGGGCCCCACGGGTGGGTGCCAGCGGAGGGGCGCAGGGCCCGCCTCGAGGCAGCGCTCCGTCTGGGCGTTGGGGACGGGGCCGAGTGCTGGGTGCCGGTGATTACACGGGTGACGGGCGACTTCTGATCCAAAACGGGACAATCGCTAGATTTTCCCAATGAACGGCATGGTCATGCATCGTGGCACGTCGTACTGCTAGAAGAATGGGGAGGAGTGGCTATGTTTCAAAACGGGGCCCTCGATTGATTGACAGGGCCATGGGGCACTCGTCCCTCAAGGGCTGTGCCACACAATGAGCAGAACAACTCTTAGGGACGTATGGTCCTCCTCCTCCCCTTCTCTTCCCCCTCCTCCTCCTCCTCCCCCTCCTCCTCCCCGTCATCATCATCATGATTTCATCACAATCATAGCCATCCTCAGCGTCACAGTTACCGTCGTCCTCGTCGTCACCACCATCATCACACCACGATCATCATGACCATTACAATCACCATCATTGTCATCGCGTTCCTCGTCCCTCTTCTCTCCAAGCTCATTATCCGCGGGTTGGAAAGACGCCAGGAACAACAGAGCAGGGCAAAGACGCCGCTCAGATCGATACGCCCTTCTCCATGTCGTTCATCGTTCGGGTGTCGAAATCCTGGGGGCCGTTCGTTCGCACCCTACCTCTTCATACCATCCATGTTTCTCTGCTTCAAAGCCTCGAAACATCACCCTCTGCCTCTCACCGCCTGTCCGCTGGCGGCGTTGATCATAAAAAATGGAATCCCAACATAAAACTTCAACACGAAGTCCACCATACTGCCCGAAAACAACCATACACCCATTATGTATATTAAGAAAACGAAGCTTCCGTGACATGGCCTGACTTTGTTAAAAGTAAAACCAAATATGAAATCCAAGGTAAACTACAAATATGTTCTTAAATGTTGAAGCAAGGGGGCCATCTATAGAAAGAGGACGCTACACAACAAAGAACCACGGCTAGCGATCTCCGAAAACATCGGTTTCCGGGTGCCCGCTGTCTCCTGCTTGCCTCAGACGCCCTTTCTTGCTTCCGACATCACGCATCCCTCCTCAGCGCCCGAAACTACGTTTAGATCAGTTTGCACGTGTGCAAATGTATACATATATAATTATATATGGAAATAAACCCACCATGTCGCTGATCGTGCCAAACGCTCACATTAAAACACACGTGGGACACAATGGCACCACCATAAGCATTCGCCTATTAGTTCAGCAACCCATGCTGCATTTAAGAAAATACGTCCGTAATTTATAAGATACGTATACATCACTAGTATCATCGACAATGATTTGAATTGCTGAAGGTTCTGCCAACATTTAACGCATTAGTTTCCGAAAGGACAACTAAGTATGTGACCCATCATGTACGACAATTCGTGTTAGATGTGTTTCAGTGATTATCCCTGTGTGTGGTGATGGTTTACTGCGTTTCGTGCCATGTCCTTACGCACGGACATGTCGGGGTTTAGGATGGGCCCAAAGGGCTCCGAATGATCATGGGTAGGCCCGGAAAGATTATGACTGACTTCTGGCCCGCCCCCAGAGATTATTGAGATTGTTTCGGCGTCCTCCCCTTTCGCAGGCTGTTACATCAGCACTTATTCGGACCCTGGCCTTACCAAGGGCAAGTGAAAACTAGTTTGTGTTCGACGACAAACGGTTGCGAAGGGGCCGATCGCCCACCTGCGAGCCCAATTGTGGTATAACAAAGTTATGCGCATGCTTGGCTTGCGGCGACACCCCGGATCCCCAATGCACCCCTAATTGTCACGCAGCGCGCGCCCCCCCCCTCGACCAACTTCCCGCGCGCGGGCGCGCCCCGACCAATCCTCGATTGAAGCTACCACGGCAGTGAAATCGCCAACGAAAATTGAAAATAACGATTAAACTATCGCCGAATGCAATTCACCCGAAACGCCATGAGGGGCTCAAAAAAATCCGATATCATATCGGGATTGGTACCAGCTATCGCAATGCTTCTTACAGGCATGGAAAGAGGTTCCTGAGGTTTCTGCAGAAACACCTGGAGGCTCTGAGCATCTTAGGATGCCTCCAGAGCGCATGTGTGGCCTTCTTGGAGCATTGGGGGGGCCCTATCTAAGACTATTGCATGGCCCAGGCGGGCCGTCAAAGCTCACTCGCCCACCAGCGGGCGGGCGACGTCGTTGCTGCTCTGGGCCCCGAACGGTTCGTCATCATCATTGAAACGATCAACATCGCCATCGTGATTTTTCCCGTCATTTTCGCGCACTCCGCCCCCACGCATGACTCTTCGTGCAAGGACGGCCAATCCTGAACACACCGCGCAGTCCGACCTCCGAAAACCATTGAAGCGCGAAGGAAGAGCGCATGGCAGCGCCGCACTTCGCACTGCACTGACACGGCATCGACATGGCAACCGAGAGGCCGCATGTTTCTCGAGAAGCCCAACCCCGCGGGCGAGAGATGGTTGCCTGAATGACGCGGCGCGGCGCTGGATTCTACGCGCGCGCGCAACGAAGAGCGATCCGCGCGGCTGAGCCTCGCGCCCTGGATTCCTTTTTACGCTGGAGTAATGGGGGGAACACACAAGGGAGGACGGCAATAGGTGCAATAGTTGGTTTGCCTGAACTATTGCGCGCGAGCTATTGCACCAACTATTGCTGGGGGACACGAACTATTGCAAACCGCCTGAACTATTGCGCGCGAAGCAAGACAAAACAATACCCACGCGGAACTATTGCATCCACGCCGCGAACTATTGCATCCAGCCACCAACTATTGCATGAACTATTGCGCCTACTCCCGTCCCCCCATTTGCGTTCCCCCCATTGCTCCGGCTTAGATCCTTGAGCTTCGGGAGCCACAAGCCAAAGCCACAGGTCGCTGGCCGCGAATTGGGGGCCCTTCTCGGATTCAGTGCGGGGCCCGGCGCCGACTGCGAAGATATCATAGCTGTCGGAGGCGCCGGGCCAGAGGGATCATCGGGGTCTCGTGCAAGCCAGAAGTCGATGACGGGCTTCTTCGCGGCGTCGTCGTTCTCGCTCGCGTCGTCGCCGTTCAATGATGATCGCCGAAGACAAGCGTTTCGAACTTTTCCCGATTGGCCCCGAAATCGGCACAAGGCAAGATGGGCAGTGGTGGGCCACTGGCATGCCCTTCCCGCGCCCCCCCTCCCCCTCCATCCTCGCTCGACCCCGCGTTCCCCCCACCCTTCCTCCCTTCCGCCCGCGCCCCCCCCCGCCCCCCTCGCGCCCCTCTGCGCGCGCAGGGGGAAAGGAGAGGGGGGGACTAACGCGCGTCGCCGGCGCCTGGGCAAGGTCGGCAGAAGGAGGGCGCTTTCTTGAATTGCACCAGGCGCACGCAGATTTATCAATCGTGAACTCGTGAAAACCATGTCTTGCTCTGCCGCCTCTCTCCAGCTAGTGTTTTTGCTTTCTTCTGCCTTTCAGCTCTAAGTCAACCGTGGATTGTTCGACCCTGGGAACTCCTCGACCCCCCCTGTCTGACGCGCTGCGCTGGTCAGAGACATGGCAGCGAACGGCGTCGTAGCTGAACTTCGCCTCGCGGCATAGTTGCAAGCACCCGCTCAAGCAATGACCAACGGGAGGCGCCCCCTCAGCCGCGCGCGCGACTGCCCGTCGCGAACGAGCCCATCCACTTCGCCATCGGGGAAGAGGCCGCCTTCCAGGTCCCCCCCTCGGAATGCTTTGACGAGCTAGCTCGACGCAGCGAAAGATCTCCTTCCGCGACTCGTCGGCGACGGCCGAACTCAGACTCTTCTGGTAAGTCGGAATCGTCGCGATCACAGCGCCCGGCGGCCCCTTGTCGCCCTTGTCGCCGAATCCGAACGCGATGGGCGCGAGGCCGAAGGGGGCGAACATGATGTCTCCGACGTCCAGGGCCGCGCGATTGGAGCTCTCGCGCTCGAGCGCGGCCTTGAGCTGGTCGGCGGAAGCCACACATTGATTGAGAGAGCTGGGCGACCTCATCCCAGGCGCGATCAAGACCGAAACGGGAACCAGCAAGCAGCGCGCTCCCCCTTCGAGCAGCACGGCAGCGAATGAGGCGCCTGGAACAGCTACGCCGTTGAAGTCCCACGCCCGCGAGTAGTGGGTCAAGGCTGCGATGACGGGCTGCGCGAGCATCTCCTTGGCGCCGCCGGAGCCCTCGAGCCCCTCCGTCATCTCCTCGATGTCGAGGCCCTTCGTCGCTTCTAAGGCCACGTGATACATGGCCGCGCGCCCGCTCATTTTCCTCTAGAGGTCCTCGATATTCCTGCGCAGCTTCTTGCAGTTGCCGCCCCTCACCTTCCTGGTCATATCCGCGAACGCGCAGCCCTCGACCATCTCAATCGTCCGAACTGGCACGTCGACGCCAAGAGGCTCGGCACCCTTGAACTCAAGAACCCCCCCGCCGCCATTCGAAGCGCCCTCGCCGGCAGGACTTCGCTGTTCACGGGCGGGCGCCCCGCGGCGAGGCGCTGGCCAGCGCGGGGGCCCCATGGAGGTTAGCAAGGGGCCCCCATGGAAGACAGCAGAAGCGACGAAACCGATGTCCGAAATGCGGTGTTCCTATTGTACATATACATTTGCATGCGTGTGTATATATATATATATATAGCACGATGCGTTAATGTGATTTCAAGAGGAAATTGGCACCCACCCAGGCTGGGCAAATGCGCATTTGCCCACGTCCTCGGCGTAGAAGAAGGTCGCCGCGAATGCCTCGGCGTGGGGCTCGGCCGTCTTGCGCTGCTCGAACACTATTGCAGCATACTTCTTGCGGCTTGCCTCGGCGGCAACTGCCTGCGCGTCGGCCTCGATGCGCTGCACGGCCGCAGCGCGCTCCTCGAGGTTCGCCCGCGCAACCGCGTGCGCGTAGATGCTCTTGATCGCTTTAGCCTGGCACTCCTCCAAATTCAACTTCTCGCATTACTTCTCGACGCCGTCGCGCTCCATCTAGCAGCTCTTGGCGGCGTCGACCGGCGCCCGCATCACCATCTCGTAGTCGACGCAATCGAGGTCGCACCCTTGAACTTGTTCAAGCCTCGTCGGGAGCGCTGAACAAGTCACCCCCCTGTTGAAACCCATGTTCGGCAACTTCTCCTCGAGCTGCATTCCGAGACTCTGCTGAGCTCGACGAAGGGCTCGGGCTCCGTCTCGGCGGCGCCCGCCCCCCGAGGCCCCTCCTCGTCGTCCTCCTCGCCGCCCTCGCCGTCGGAGTCGACGTTAAGTCCTCCGCCGCCGCCATGACCTCCCCCGCGGCCCTCCCCTCCCTTGGGCGACGCCCTGCTCTCCTCACTCGCGCTTGTCGGCCTGCCCGGGCTCCTGCTCCTCAGTCGCTTCGGCGGCGCTGGGCTGCGCGACCTCGGTCGGGGCCGGTCTGGGGGCGGCGAGGCCGCGGGCGTCGGCGAGCTCCTCGCCATCGCACCTGCCGACGCCGCGGTCTCCATGAACATGGATATGCCCTGGCAAGCCTGGTCGCGGATAGCCGAGGCGCTCGAAGACGGCTCGTTCCCCCTGGAGCTGCGCGCCCCCTGCTGCGATGCGCCCTGGACGGATTCGACCACGGCGGGTTTCTCGACGGCCGCAGTCGTCTGCCCCTTCCGATTCTTCCTCTTCTGCACGC